AACCTCCATCCTTTATTGGATGCAGGGGGTAACACAGTGACAAAGGATGAGGAAGAGGATGAGGTGCTTAATGCCTCCATTGCCTCAGCCTTTAGCAGTAGAACTGGTTCTTCCCTGGACACAGAGCCCCCCGAGCAGAAAGATGGGGAGGTGGGGCAGAGTGGGACCTTCATAATCCAAGAGGAAATGGTCAGTGACCTGCTACACCAGTTAAACATCCGCAAGTCTATGGGGCCAGATGGGCTGCACCCAAGAGTACTGATGGAGTTGGCAGATGTACCTGCCAAGCCTCTTTCCATCATCTACCAGCAGTCCTGGCTAACTGGGGAAGTCCCAGTGGACTGGAGGGTAGCAAATGTGATACCCATCTACAGGAAAGGCCAAAACATGGATCCAGGGAATTACAGACCTGTCAGTCTGCCCTCGGTGCCAGGGAAGGTCACGGAGCAGATCCTATTGAGTGCTGTTATGTACCACATGCAGGACATCCAGGCAGCACGGGTTTATGAAAGGCAGGTCCTGCTTGACAAACCCCGTGTCTATCTAGGATGAGATGACCCACCTGGCAGATGAGGGAAAGGCTGTGGATGTGGTCTACCTGGACTTCCATAAGCCCTTTGACACTGTTTCTCATAGCATTCTCATGGAAAAAATGGCTGCTTATGGCTTGGATGGGCGTACACTCTGTTGGGTAAATCCCTGGCTGAACGGCAGGGCCCAAAGAGTGGTGGGGAAGGGAGCTGAATCCAGATGGAGGCCAGTCATGACTGGTGTTCCTCAGGGCTCAGTATTGGGATCACCTCTGTATGACATCTTTACCTGTGGTCTTGATGAGAAGACAGAGTACACCCTCAGTAAATTTGCAGACGACACCAAGTTGAGTGACAGTGTTGACCTGCTTGAGGGTATGGGGGGTCTAGAGTGAGACTTGGACAGACTGGATTGGTGGGCCCTTGTTTTCCACAACCGTGGATTGTACGATCCAAGTGTCCGGTCCTGCACTTGGGCCACAACAACCCCAGGAAATGCTCCAGGCTTGGGGAAGAGTGTTTGGAAAGATGCTTGGAGGAAAGGGACCTGGGGGTGCTGATTGACAAGCGGCTGAATCTGAGCCAGCAGTGTGCTCAGGTGGCCAAGAAGGCCAACAGCTTTTTTATTAGAAACGATGTGGCAAGCAGGACCAGGGAGGTGATTGTGCCTCTGCACTCAGCATTGGTGAGGCCACACCTCGAGTACTGGGTTCAGCTTTGGGCACCTCAATACAAGAAAGACATCGAGGTGCTGGAGCAGGTCCAAAAAAGACCATCTAAGCTGGTGAGGGGCCTAGAGAACAAGTCTCCTGAGGAGTAGCTGAGGGAACTGGGGCAATTAGGCTGAAGAAAAGGATGCTGATGAGGTACCTTATTGCTCTCCACAACTTCCTGAAAGGATGTTGTAGAGAGGAAGGTGCTGGTCTCTTCTCACAAGTAACTACTGACAGAAGAAGAGGGAATGTCCTCAAGCTTCTCCAGGGGAGGTTTAGACTGGACATTGAGAAGAATGTTTTCACTGAAAGTGTTGTCAGGCATTGGAACATGCTGCCCAGGGAGGTGGAGGAATCACCATCCCTGGATGAGTTTAAAAGCCATATAGATGTGGTGCTTGGGGATATAGCTTAGAGGAGGATTTGGTAGAGTATGGTAGAGTTAGGTTAATGGTTGGACTTGATGATCTTAAAGTTCTTTCCCAACCAAAGTGATTCTATGATTTTGTAATTCATAGGAACATAGAAACATTTTGATTGGAAGAGACATTTAAGATCAAGTCCAACTATTAACCCAGCACTGGCAGGTCATCACTAAACCATGTCTCTCAGAACCACATCTCCATGGCTTTTAAACCCCTCCAGGGATAAGGACTCCACCATAGCCCTGGGCAGCTTGTTCCAGGGCTTGACAACCCTTTTGGGGAAGAAATTTTTCTTAATATACAACCTAAACCTTCCCTGGTGCAACCTGAGGCCATTTCCTCTTGTCCTGTTGGTTGTTCTTTGGGAGGAGGGACTTACCCCCACCTCACTACAACCCTCTTGCAGGGAGTTGTAGAAAGTGAGGTCTCCCCTGAGCCTCCTTTTCTCCAGGTTAAACAATCCCCATTCCCTCAGCTGCTCCTCGCAAGACTTGTTCTCTAGACCCTTCCCCAGCTTTGTTGCTCTTCTTTGGACATGCTCCAGCCCCTGAAGGTCCTTCTCAGAGTCAGGGGCCCCAAACCAAACCCACTATTTGAGATGTGGCCTCCCCAGTGGTGAGTATGGGGGGACGATCCCTGCCCTAGTCCTGCTGGCCACACTGGATGCTGCTGGTCTTAATTTATGGTGATTCATACAATGGCATCGTTTGAATTATCTGTTAGCTAATATAAATAATTCAGTCAGTTCATCACTGAATCTGTTTGCAGACCTATCTGGGAATACTAAAGCTATTTCATGTGAGCACAGGCCAGGTGAAGGGGTTTTCCCATGGGATTTTACAATGGGGTGCAGGCAGCTCTGCAGTAGCTGAACGAGTAACAAAGAACAAGTGTCAAAGCACAGGGATATTTAACCAGTAAATGAATTAATGCCCCTGTCTAAATAATAAATACAAAGCCATAGGTAAAAGCAACCAGCTTTTGCAAAGTTAAAGCTTTCATCAGCTTGTGAGGAACAAATATTTTTGCCTGTTTCTTGCTGTGCTGTTGCTTCCAAGCAGCATTTATATAAAGGTCTCATCCAATACTCTGCCATAGCAGGAAAACCTTTCCCTAAGAGCTGCTTTGACCTGTCTGAGTTTATGTTTGATTTTAAGCAGGCTTTGCCTGAAGATCTTCAGGAGTTCAGTGAATCCACTGAGCCCTAAAGAAGGATCTGACTGAACATGTTTATAGTGGTGCTGGGAATCACATTTCAGGCTGTGTAAATCTCATTTAAAAATTGCTTTGATTTGCTAGATTGCAGAAGATTGTTAAAAAATAAATAAATCCCTTGGTAAATTGTCTAGGCTATGAAGAAGAAGCCTCTCTGCGGCGTGCTGGGTAGAGCACCTGAGACAGCAAAGTCACAGCCTGGTTTGCACAGGCCACAACTGGCCGCAGACCCATTTATTTGCAGTAGACAGGGAAGGAGATCCTGCAGCACTGAGACACTTTTTTCTTGAGACCTTTCCTCTTTCAGTCCTTGCTTAGTATTTCTTCTGATTTTGCATTGCAGCAAAGACCCATGACATCCAGGTCACAGACGTCACCGAGAACAGTGCCAGGCTGCGCTGGGCCAGCCCAGAGGCCCACAGCACCTACACTTTTGATCTCACCGTCACCTTAGCACATGACCACTCTCTTGTGCAGAAGCAAAACCTGACTGGCACTGAGCATGTCATCCAAGGACTCAGAAGTGGGCAGAAATACTCCGTGGTCATTACCGGCTACCAGAAATCCCAACCCAAAGTAACCTACGCAGGGACATTCAGCACAAGTAAGTACCTCTTGAGAAAAACACACAAACATACATTTTTTCATTACATGGACACAAAAAATGGAAAAAAAAAATAACATAAGGGATGCGGGATCAGTTGGTACCAACAAACCTAGCCCTGGCAATGCTCCTTTGTGTCACTGCATGTCTGGCACCATCCAGACCAGCTGCAAGACCCAGTTATGAAACACTGCAAACATGTTTCTTGGGCAAATGCAAGTTGACACTTCTCTGGTGTTAAATCAACACAGATTGTGGGAGAATTAAATCCAGTCCCAGAGCCAGGGTTTGTCTTGTTGTGCATACAGGAGGCCTTGATGGGTTTTGGTAGACTCCAGTGAGCATTACTGTAATTGATAATAAAAGTTAAACTGGGTTAACACAAAATAAATTCAGTCCAGCCTGATTTCAAAATAAGCAAAAGCTTCTTCTCTGATCACCATTTCCATAGCCACCTAGCTGTTTCACACACTGTATTATCAAAAAAACCCCAAACCAACCAAACCCACAAAGAAGAGACTAAATGGAGGGTTTGGTCCTTTAGGGATCCAAGCTTCATGTGCACAGATCTCATGGAGACCTCACCAAACCCTTTGGCATGGCCAAAAGTTGCTATGTAAGACACAGCCAATTTTTATTACGCAGTTTGGCATAAAAGTGACTTGGCTTGATGGTGTTGAGAAGTTTGCATTGGTCCTGCCAGTGCTACATCTGGATTCTTCTGGCACTTCAGAGACAATTTCAGTGCCCATGGAGAGCCCTTCCATTGGCTTCTGTGGTTTGGATCAGGTCTGAAGTCTCTTACCTTTGTGAGTAATAAATATGACCACAGTAATGTTGAGAAACTACATCAGCATGTAGAAGCAACATTTGCACATGCTGTTTGAGCTCTTGATGCCCAGGGAAGCTGCATTTCCCACACAGAGTAAACCTCAAACGGAAGGAAATTGAGTAGGCAGTGGTGACAACACATTTGCCTTCAGGCTGTGACCTGGACACTGGACAGGACAGTCCCTCTTACCCAGGCCAATACCCTCTACTAGAGAAAAACAAATTCAAGCCTTTCCGTGGCTGCAGCCCTCTCCTGCAAAATGAGGCACGGGTTGCCTGTGGAAGGGACATGATGCCATAGGGTGCAGTAATGCAGGGCATGATGCAGTATGAACCATGTTCTCCTTCCCATTACATGGGAGGTTTCTCCTTCCCTGGAGGATGCCATTTGTTTTCTGCCGTCTCTAAGGCCAGAGGATCAAAGCTAAACTGGCTACAGAGAGACCATGTCGAGATCCTTCAGAGCCCTTGCCCAGTTGCGTGCTGTGGGGCGAATGGGGCCCATTCGAAACAGTCACATGGGCCCTGGGGATGGTCCTTCACAGTCACCCCCGAGGATGAGCCTGACCACACAGCAGACATGCTGTCTGGAGCGTATCTGCTGTGTGTCAGCTGCCTCCAATAAACATTTCTGAAATGTATGTTCTAGGGTAAACAGATCCAGACCAAACTCCTGCAGCTTGTGTGCACCCCCCCAGTGCTGGGGCTGGGGCCAGTAAGTTTATGACCACACCAAGGGTGCTGCTGCAGATCTCCTTCCCCTTAGCTCACATAGCTCCTTCTTCACCCTAGAGACCCCAGTGCAGCCCAAGATGTCCCTGGCCAACATGATGCTCAACACTGAGCCGCTGGAAGGGCCCGAGAGTGGTGAGTATGGGTGACGGTGGGAGTCCTAGGTTGGGAGATCTGCCAGGACCCCCATTGAGTGCCTGGACATCTGCACTGGTCTCCCCCTTGCCTGCTTCCAAACCTGGGCTTTCTCAGAGCCCCACTAGGACCAAAGGATCTGAGAGTCCTTTGCTTTGCCAGAGCCCACAGACCATGACCTAGATGACACCCTTGGCCATGCAGGTCTGAGACACGTATTGGGACCTCTGTCCCATGCTGGATCCAGAGCTCTCTGAAGTTGCTGCAGTCTTCATGAGGGACTCAAACTGTGTCCTGATTCCATTGCAAGGATGGGACATGAGCCAGGGCCCAAGCACTGGCTGCTCTCCAGGGACAGGCTGTGCCCCATAAACACCCTAGCATGTGTGGCTGGAGGTGTGAATGCAGAGCATCACCAGATGCTTCCTCAATCCCTCTTTCCCCATTTGGAGCAAATAATAGGTCTTGGCTCCTTGACTGCTGAAGAGCTTGACCAATAGACAGGGATTGCAGATGAGTTAATGTCAAATATTTGCATAAATTTGGCTAATTGGTAGCCTTCCTCCAGTTTCACTTGTCTGCCCTTCACCTGTTTCTCTGCCACCAGTGGTGTATGTAGTAAACCCCTAAATGACCAAGGTGTCAGCTCCTACTCTGTTGTTAATCTCCACAACCTGTGTTAATAACCCATGATCACTGTAGCTGTTAATATGTCATCTCACTGCCTTTGTTGACATCAAGCTTGTTACATTGGTGCTGTTACACTCAGTTGTACCACAAGTGCCAGGCTGTACCCCCTTCCTCCAAAGGGTCTGGAAGGGGTCTCAGTCTTCAGAAAGCAACACAGACATGTTGCAGGCACTAACTATGGATCTGACATCCTAAACTCATCCCTGAATCATCACACTCATGTTTTCCTTTAAGCATTTTGCTTGTATCATGGCTCATTTTCTTCCTGAGGTGATTTGAGAGCATGAGGAGATGCTGCTGCTTGGTGTGTTCAGCCATCAGGATTTGCAAAACTGCTATCAGGGACTGGCTGCTGGTGTTGAAAGGGATGAGCATGAACCTCATGCCTGGTTGGGGGTACTACTGGAGCTTGCTGCAGTGCAGGAGCCGAGGGCTTGTGCTGGGCAGGGACCATCTCATTTCTGCTTTGCTGCATGACCCCACTCTTCTCATGCATTCCCACTCATTTGGTTCCTCTCCCTGGCACTGACATTCCCTCTGAAGCCTTCATCTGGCTTGTCCCGACTAGGTGACAGGCACCCCCATGACTTTTTTAACCCCTTATGTGCTAGCCCTTTGGAAACAAGGTGTGTAGGCTTGTGTAGGTTTGCCTGAAGGAAAACAGATGTGCTTATTCTTTGTTTCAAGGCATCCCTTGCAAAATCAGCTCCTCTTGTTGACCCATCTGTTGCAAACATCTCTGCCCAAGGATTTATGGCAGCTGGGAATTTGGGGGAAACATTCCCCAAGGATGCTAATTTGAAGTTTTTCAACAGGCTGGAGACATGGAACAGGTCAGGGGATTTGAGATGGGTTGTTTTGCTGAGTCTTCTCTAGTTCTCTGAGCAATAGGAGAGACCCATGAGTAAATCTTCTGATGGACCTTGGAGGAAGCCCCAGATTCTGCCCTCCTTATAGAGGCAAAGCATCTGCTAGCACGGAAGGTTTGCCTTTGCTTATAAAAACTCTGGGATTTGGACCTAAATTACCATTTCTGGGAGGAAAAGGAGCATATGTTTAAATCCTTATCAAGCCTCAAAGTTACCAGGTGCAGCTTGCCTCTAGAGATAAAATAAATATGCTTAAAGTTTAAAAGTTGTTGCCAAGACACTTTGAAAACAGATGGGAAGAGTTCTGTGAGGGCCCAATCCTGCACGTGCCAGAAGGGAGTAAGGGACTCCACTATCTTGGTCTGGGGACATGGGGCTTAGAAATCAAGATCCAGGAGAGGCAAGGTGGAGCAAAAGTTTGTATCTGATAAGAGAAATCACGTGACAAGGAAACGCCCCTGGGCTTCTTTATTTTTATTCCCCATCCCCCACCTCTCTTTGCTTTTTCAGCTTTTAACCCTTTCAGAGTCACTTAACCTTTGCACCTTTTGACATGCAGATTGGCCAGACCCTTGCTTGCTGGACTTTGACATGGGCATGCAGTGCAAGGACTATCAGATTGTGTGGTTCTTTGACTACAAAAACAAGATCTGCAGCCAGGGTTGGTATGGTGGCTGCGATGGTAATGCCAATAGATTTGAGGCCGAAGTCGAGTGTATTAGCAAATGCTTAAAACCATGTAAGTACCACGTGGGGATTAATCCTTTTGTGTTTTATCATATTGTTAAATAATGTTCGGATTGGAAAAAAAATGCTGTTTAAAAAACAAAGCCACGCACTTTTTCCTTCAGCAGCAGCTGAGAAAACCATGCAGCAGCCACCCCTTGAAAAAACAATATCATCAGGTAACACCCACAAAGTAATAATCACAAACCAAAGCAAACCCATTATTTCACCGTGACCATCCCATTGCATGCATCCAAGCTTGTCCAGTACAAGATCACCAGTAGTATAGACTCGGTTTTCATTTGCTCCGTGACATGATGGTGTCCCCCCATCTGCTTTGCTTGAGCAAGTCACCTTGTGAGCGTGTCGTCAGACCAGGACATGCCATGTCTGCATGACCTGTGTGCAAACCACAGCTATATGGCAAAATCACACACTAGATTTTGTGAGACACATGGGCTGGCTGAACTGGAGCATGACTTGTCTCTGTTACTGCTGCATGACTAACCAATGCCACCACTCGGTTGTGTGCCTTTGCTGAGATGTGAAGTGTTGAAAACATTTTGCTGCCTGTAACCAAAACACTTGATGGAAAATCACATCATGGGGCTTGGGTCTTGCTTGCAGATGTTTTCCTTTTGCACCACAAGATACAAATCAAGGTTGAGGGAGGAGCCCACAGGGAACTGGCAATGACCTCCTCTCCTCCAGGAGTTTCTGAGACGAAAGGGTTGTGTTTGCAAACCTCTTCATGACCTGGAAAGGAAGTAGAGGTTTGCAGTCACCTTTGTTGGCTCGGCAAGGGATTGGGATGGAAACCTGAGAGAGATGGGAGGGAAACCTCGGAGTGAAGCAAGCTCTGGAACCTAATGGCAGGGCTTTAATCCTCATAGGGGCACAACAGGGTTTGAACAGGCAAATTAAGGACCCCTCCAACCCATCTAATTTTCTTAGCTCCTTAAATTTTAAAGCTCCTTAAATCAGATAGGGACATTTTTGTCACTGGCAGTGGTGCCTCCTGAGTCCAGCTGTGGGTCCCCCTGCAGAAACATGCAGACAAATGAAGAGGAGCCCCCCACCAGCCATGAAGATGCCTGGGGCAGCAGCTGCTTGCAAAAGGAGGTGTCAGGTGCTTCTAGGTTCCATTTTCTGCAAAACCAGAACTTGAATCCACTTTGGAAAAAGAGACACAGAAGTTCATCTGCAGCACAGCTTTTAAAAGGGTGTTGGGCTCTAGTTTCAACCCATACTGGAGCCAGGCTCAACCCTGAGAAAGTAGTTAGTTTCCCAAACCTTAGGGCTCTTTGGATGCAAAAATGTGCACCAGAACAACCTGCAATTTGAATTCTGGGATAACCTTTAATTATTGAGTTTACATACACACACACAGATATATATATATACACACACACACACACATATATATATATTTATTTTAACCATAACAAAATTAACTGTAAGTGGAAGTGAGGAGCCCAGGCACATTTTCACCACAGGATGAATCAAAACCTTGGCTTATGGTGGTTGCCCTTGTCTTCTGAACCTGCCAGAGTCAGCCACAGCTTAAACCACATTTTAGCTCCCTAGTTCTTGCTCTCCATCAATTATTTGAAATTTTTGAATAAGTTTTCATTTCATTTCTTGTGGTGTTGGGGGAGGGGGTTGGTTATAGTGCCATCCACTGGTTCAGCTAGAGGATGGTGGTTGATGGTACTCTGAAACTGATGAGTAGTACATGCAGTGTGCATTTTAGGGCAGGAAAACTGAAGGTTACAATTCAAGTGAATTTTCAGCAGCTTTCCTGAAGCCAGATCTGCCTTTAAAGTGATGGTTGAATTTCCCTGTGTACCTGCTAATTCTGAAAGCTGCTTCCACTCTCAAAGGTGATGAAGTGTTGGGGGAGAAAGTTGGGCAACCTGGACTCTGTGCTACAGAGAAAAATCATGTAATACCTCCAGTCAGCTGCATGTTTTGATTATTGTTTGGATTCCTGAAAAGGTGCTCAGGGTTTGGGGGTAGAGTCATTCTTGTATTCACATCTGTGTTTTAGAAGGCAGGAAAGAAGGGAAATGGACTTTGAAAAAAAAAAAAAAAAAAAATTGAATGTAAAAAGGCAAAGAGCCTGCCAAAGGCATGGGGAACCTTTTGGCTGTAGCAGCCAAAAAAGCTGAACTGGAAGGTCAGTATTGATTTCAAATTCTAAAGAAAAGTAGACATTAAAAAAGAAATCCTGGTTCAAAACGCTGCATCCAGAACAGGACAATGGGCAGGAGTGTCCTTTTAGACATGTCTCCTCTCTCAGAAAGGACATATTCTCAGCTCCTCCTATCTGAACAGTAAACCCACTGCTCAAACAACCCACCCAGTCTCTGTTGGAGACCACTTGAGGCTGCCTCTTTAACCACAGCACTGCTCTGGCAACGATCTGCTCAGTTGCTCTCAGCGCAAAGGGACTCCTGCAAACACAAGGGAAGGGAAGAACGCCATTAAAATGAGTGGACAGAAAGAGTTTAGAATTTTGGCAGGGTCTACCCGGCAGCATACCTGTGGTTGGGCTGCAAGGTCCATGACGCTGATGTGAGCATTTTCACATCCATCCCCAGAGCATTCCTGGAGCATCGCTGCGGCATTTCATGGCTCTGGGCGTCTGTCAGCACCAGCCGCAATTTCCTTTAAAGTAAACCTGCTGCTGGGGCTTTCTTATTGCCTTGGCTCCCTTGCCAGGCAGGTTTTCAAGGGATAAACTGTGCCCTTCTCACTGCGAAAACTTTAGAAGGGTTTGGCATCCCTTTGGTTTCATCAGGCCCCAAAGAATCTTGCTGGCAAATGCAGCTTTTTATATACTCACCCAGCTTGTATATATTCTTCCCTATATTCATTCATGGGTACGTTTGGGCTCTGTTTCTGGTAGAACAGAGACTTGGTAAGATCTCTCAGACCCTTGCAACTAGTGGCTGATTGCTTTCTCTTTTTGTTCGGTTGGAACAGACAGGATCATAGAGAAGTGAATATAAAATTCTTTTTTACCAATGTTGATCTCTCTGTCTCCCAAAATCCTGCCTTCGCACGAGCGGTCAAAGGATTACAGTGAGTTGGGGCACTTTTGCTGTTAGCAAAGAGTTATTTCTGGGGGCCCTGTGCCATTACTGCCCCCCGCTGCAAGGGACTGCAGGACACTTGGGGCTGTTCACCCCAATTTCAGACAAGTCCCTTAAGTAGCTTTATTTCTGGCACTTATTTTACAAAAGGCATGATCTGAAGATTATCAGAGAGAACTTCAAGACCTGAATTTCTCCAGCAGTTGTTGCTGGTGTAGTCTGTACTTACTGATTTATCTTTGCATCTGGGAAAAACAAACAAACAAACAAACAAAACAAAACCAACATAAAAGACTCCCCTCCCCCAGATTAAATATATTAATACATATTAAATAATTAAATATTGCAAACAGCCCTTTTTAAGTAAGAGGAATCCCACACTGCTCATCTGACTCTCTCTCTCCCTCATTCATTTGTCAGTGCCTTTAATGATGTACTTGTTTGACTGATGATTTTTACTTATGCCCAAGGCTGGATACCAGAATCTTGACACCCTGATAAGCAGCAGCAATGAGCCTGATACCAGGGCTCTGATAACAAAGGTTTTCCAGGACAAACTGTTATGGTTGATGGTTGCATCATGCTGAATAGAGGTGGCATGAGCTGCTTCTGCATCCCTGTGTGCAAGTGATGACTTGCATGTGACCCGATGGTAAATTAGTGGCTAATATAAGTTTGTTTTGTTTTGTTTTTCAATTTCATTTTAACACATCCAAGTACTTTGTTACTTTGTTCCCTGCTCACCCAGCAATGGATGCAGGATGCCACTGTGCACTGTGTGGTAGGTCCAGGAGCATCTTCTCATAGAAAATTGCTCTTTTTGAGGGAAGCTGGTATTTTTCATGGGAAAATGATGGTGGAAATAATTTTGCACTTGCAGCCCAGCCAGCCCTGTCCCAGTTCTGAGGCCTGCCAACTCATTTCCTGTAAATCAGAGAACTGCTGCCATGTAGCCCTCTTCCTTCACCTCAGCATTGCTCCACGGGTGCATGACGGCAACATGGCAGAGGGCTTGTGGATCAGGGCTGGTAACCTCCAGAGAAAGACCTTCTTCCTGCAAACCAAGAGATGGGATTTAGTCACAGGAGATGTGCAAAGCCTATGCTGTGGTTGCCCTTTCTGAGTTTGCATGCCAGCTCAACTCACAGGCATTTCTCTGCTGTGCAATTACATTCAGAGAGGTCGTGCTTCATTCAGGAGTGCTGTTGCTGACTCTTCTTGCTTCTGCTTTTATCCACAGTCACAGATATCTGTCAGGTGCAAAAAGATGAGGGGACCTGCAGGGACTTTGTGCTGAAATGGTACTATGACCCCAAGACCAAGAGCTGCGCCCGGTTCTGGTACGGCGGCTGTGGAGGCAATGAGAACAGATTCAACACGCAGAAAGAATGTGAAAAAGTTTGCGTCCCGGGTAAGCAGCATACACATGGCTGGGGAGGGGGCCAGACAGGTCCCTGGCATGGCCAGTCCAGGGCATGGCTGTAGGGAACTTTGTTGTAGTGCTCTGGACTCCATAGCAAGTCCTGGCAATAGATTCCATTTACCCTCCCTTAGTATCTGCATGGCTTCTCACACATGGAACAACCTCAGTTTTTTTTTCTTTCTCCATTGAACCTTTTCAGGTAGCATCAGCCCTAACGTGGTGATGACGCTAGGAACATAGAGCCAGAGATCAACATATACCTCTGAGACAGCCAGGAGCATCAGCCATTGCCACCTTACTCCTATAGAAGCTAAGGGTATAGACTACCTTGCACTGTACTATTTCATGCTTTTAACTTCCAAGCAAACCTTGAAGAAAGTGTTTTGCCACATGACCTATAAATATGGTGCTAAACTGTTTGTGGACTGAGGGCTACATGTGTCCGGGTTATATTGTATAGCTTCAACATTACCAAATATTTACCTAATTGCAGATTACAAACACATCTAAATTACCCTTTCTTTATGATTCTGGCAGTCTGCCTATCTAAGACACTGTAAAAATGAGAGGAAAAAAAAATTAATAATAATTTCACTGCAACTGTTACATGCTTGCTTTTATCTTTTTCATAACTGAGCATAACTGTACAGGGGAAGCCTTCGTGTAAGAGAGTAGCTAATTCAGACACACAAGCGGTTCAATTTTTCATCTTTTTTTTTTTTTCTTTTTTTGCTGGATTAGAATTCAGACTAGATCTCTCATATGCATTTGTAACATATGTGGCCAAGCGAACTAGCAAGGAAAAGGAAGCAAGGTTTCCAAATGCAAATGCACTGCGGGGACAAAGGCCTCAGTTAACAAATTTTTAATTTGTGGTGTAGGATGCCTCTGGCATTCTTCTGATATTGTGTGTTTTATGATATACAAAGCAAAGCAATTTGGGGAGGGGAAAGGTGGCGGGTGGGAGGGGGATTTTATTTTTATTGTGGATTCTGTGCCAGGAAGTCTATACAAAGAACTTTTAAATAAAGTCTAATGGAGGTTTTGAGAAATTCATGGGTGTGTCTTTGTAAAAGCCGTGGTGGGTACCAGTGCAGTAATTTTCCAGGGTCTGGAAACTGTTTCTTTGGAAGGAAATCCCAGTGGTCCCTAAAGGAAGGACGGATGTGGTATGGATATTACGGGGGACATCAGTGAGGGGCTGCTGGTAACCTGGAGTTTTCCAGCTTGGAAAAAGCTGAGAATCGAGATGTCTCGGTTGCAAAATCTCCATCCTGGATGAATTTAAACTCAGCTAGCCTTTAGCAACTCAGACTCAGCTGGCCCTGCTTTGAGCACGGTATTGGACCAGAGGCATCTGAAGGTCCCTTCCAACCTACAGGGCTCAATGACCCCACGGCATTTTTGGATGTCTCCTCTACTGCCCATAACCATGATGATTTTTACCCTAGGCTATTCCTGTCCTTCCCTGAGCTCACACAAAGTAATTAAAATTCACACAAACAATGCATGTTTCTCTGCCCCTCCAGAAGTCCCCCCTAAAATCACGAAACAGATGAACTTAGCAACCCCACAGAGCACAGGGCAGCTGTGTTGTAAGGCTCAGGTCCTAAATTTCCCCAGACCTCATTTGTTGTCTGTATGCAGAGGATGATAACACCTCCCATGGCCTGGTGGGGGTTATGAGAAGGAACACGTGAGCCTTGCAAGCACATGCCATGGACAGGGCAGCTGAATGCCAAAACCAGAGCAGGTCCACAGAGGACAGGCCATTTACACACCTCTGGAGACCAGGGTTGCATTGGTTAAATCTTGGAAAGGGGACCAAGGTTACAATTTAAGGCTTATCCAGTGTCTTCCTCCATGGGTCAGGGTGGGACTGTCACGTGAAGAACAGGACTGTCACCTGGTGCTCATCTGCCCCACATGTTGGGGTGCTACTTTCTGAAGCACTTCAGACAGGTCTTCAACAACCGTCAAGAGACACTCCACCTGTGATGTATTCGATGCCTTTGGAAGCAGCCCTCCCAAAAAGACTCTTTGCTTCCCATAACATAGTGTACAAGGCTAAAGCTGGCCAGACACCTCAGGTTGTCCATTCATTGCTGCACATGTGATCCACAGGAGTCCAAGAGACTCATCTTAGCTTGTTCAGGTGAGTGGGGCTGCAGAGTCATTGTGGCAAGGGCTTTGTCCCTACGAGGATTTATGTTTTTAGGTGTCCCAGATTTTATGCCACTCCTGGCATACAGAGCAGCCCAGCTCCCCAAATTTCCTGTCAGTACCAAAGAGGGATAGGGAATGGCAGGGACTCTGCTCAACTGGGGATGAGCCGAGCAGCTGTGCTTGGGAAGCTGCACTGTTTATTTGGCACCCTCCCCCAGCACATCACAAGGACTTCATTAAAAAAGAGGGAAATGGGTAATTTTTTTTCTTTATTACTATAACTGGCTCTTGCAACAGCTGCACCCAGCTGTGGCCACTCCAGGGGACAGAGCAGCCTGCCCCACATTTCACCATGCACGAGGACATGCCCCAAGACCCCCTTTTTTGCTCTGACTGGGTATAAAGGTTGCAACTAGGTTAAAGTGACCCACAAATCATAGAATCATAGAACTATGGAATCATATAATGGTTTGGGTCAGAAGGGACCTTTAAAGGCCATTTAGGCCAGCCCTTCTGTGGTAAGCAGAGACATCTTTAACTAGAATCATCTTTCCCTCCAGCCTCCCACTCCTCTACAGCACGGGACAGGTTTTCCTAACACCAGTGCCTCCTGTGTTTCCCAAGAAAGCTGCTTCTGGTGAACTGTGCAGCGTTCCAGAATGCAAAGGCACAGTCCAGGCTTCCACAGCATGCTGGGGGTAGCAGGCAGCTTGGGAAGGGGCCCCATATCCCCTCCCATCCCCAGGGCGGTGGAGTGTTGCAGTTGCCTCTCCTTAGCCTTTTAAGGAAGCACGTTACGCCCCGGGCCCCCAGCCAGAAGCTAGGCGAGGTTACACATGGAAGTCATCTGCAGCTGGGAGCCTCTCTGCCAGCGTGGCTGCGGGACCAGACCAGGAGTAAAAATAGCTCAGCCCAGCCCAACAGAGCTCCCCCCAGGCAGCACGCTCTGCTCCCGGCCGCTGATGGCCAGCCCCGACATCCGTGCCCTGCTGCTCTTGGGGGTGGCCTTTGCCATCTCCCACCACCATTTTATTAGTACCCCTGTGCTGTGAATCCAGCTGGCGTCCCCTCTGGTCGCTGAGCCTCTCATGTTAAGGGTTAGACACTCATGCAAGGCTGCTCCCCTAATGTGCTTTTGCTGCAGATAAATCAGCTCTGCCTAAACAGTTCCCATCTCCTTCTGGAACCATTTCTTTGCAGTATCCTGAAATAAATATAGACACTGTGTTGATGAACTCAAGGCACATGATGGATGGAGTGGGTCCAGAGGAGGGCCACAAAGATGATCGGGGGCTGGAACACCTCTTCTATGAAAACAAGCTGGAAGAGTTGAGATTGTTTGGTGTGGAGAAGACAGGGCTCTGGGGAGACCTTATTGTGGCCTTCCAGTACTTAAAGGGGGCCTACAGAAAAGATGGGATGGGACTTTTTATCGGGGAGAGTAGTGATGGGATGAAGGGTAATGGTTCCAAACTGAAAAAGGGGAGATTTAGATTAGATATTAGGAAGAAATTATTTGCTGTGAGGTTTGTAAGACACTTGAACAGGTTGCCCAGGGAGGCTGTGATTGCCCTGTCCCCAGAAGTCTTCAAGACCAGGTTGGATGGGGATTTGAGCAACCCTGTCTAGTGGGATGTGGTGTCCATGCTCATGGCAGGAAGATTGAAAATAGATGATCTTTAAGGTCCCTTCCAACTCAAACCATTATGTGATTCTATGCATTGTAATCCAGAGGACACAGTCCTTAAAGCAGGACTTCTGCAGACATGCCATCTAAATCTCTGGCATCAAAAATGCCCATTATTTTGCTTTGAAAGATGCAGGGTGAGCCATTCACCCCTGCCTGAGAGTGAGGCAGCAAAGATATAAAAGCTGACATTTCTCAACAAGGTGAGGGCATGTTGTGAAATAAAAGAGCTTCACTAAAAAAAAAAAGTCTCCTGGTGAAGACCTGTTCCATAGTCTAATGCTGTTCAGAAAGTCTCTCCATCTTTCTACATAAGCCCTAGGTGAGCTGCTGGAGGCCATGTCTCATGACTGGGCTGATGCTCTCAAACTTTCAGACCATGCCCCAAAAAGCACTTTCATGCCTCAAAGCCTGCTTTCTTGAGGCACATCAGCCTAATAAAAGATACTATCACTCCCTGTGAACTGCATCTCTCCTTGCCAGACCACAACAGCTACATCATTTCTACTACTGGCCAAGACATCTTGTAAAAGGATTCAGCATCAGTGAAGAGGGTAACCTGGCATCCTCCTCCTCTGACTTGTCCACATCTTCTTTTGCATAGTCTTGGTCACATGTTTTAGCATAACTCCCCTGTGGGACTCAGGCCCTGAGGCACGCTGAACCAATGCTAGAAAGGTCTGACCATTGATGTAGACAGTACAAGTGGGATATATTTGCTGACATCAAGGCACGATATGTCATTTCAGTAACCCTCAGGCACCAGTTACATGGTGCATGTAGAATCTCCTTAACCTTTACCATGTCTTCAAACCCCACGCAGATATTGTTGACCACCACTGAGCATCTCGACTTGCAGTAGGGGCTTGCATTTAGGCAACCAGGACACACTACTAAATTGAGGTGGGGATCTAGGAGGGGATGTAGGACTCTGTGGCATCTTCCGGGCAACCTTACTGTGAAATACTCCATGGAGAGGGTCACTGGTGGCTAGTGTCTCAGCTGACTGGGACAGAATTAGCATTAGGACTAAGAAGACAACACATTAAATCCAAGATAACGTGGACTTTATGCAGGTCTCCAAGGCAGGGGTCAACCCGAGTTGTGTGAACCCTGCAAAGGTTTGTCTAACCTGTTCCCACAAGACTCCAGAGATTTAGGGCAATTCTATAACTGGGCAACAGTGGACAGTCCCTGGGACAAGGTATTACCTGGCTTTTGCAACAGCCAGCCCCAAATCTCACTTGCTGTAATTGAAACCCTTTTGGATGAACATGCTGCCCTTGGCTTCAAGTGAGCTATCAGTCCGCTGGTGAAAACCACAGTGTTCAGCACCAGAGCAGCAAGAGCCTTTTGTGATACTGATGGTATAAGAACGAAGAGCAGGACGTACAGCAGAGTTAAGCATTGCAGCCAGACCCTAAAATTTAGGATAGTACCAGCCTTTAATGATTGGTTAGGTTCTCTTAATGCTGTAGCTTTCTGTTTCTTGGGAAACCTTTAAAA